CCCCAAGAGCCTCCTGGCCCCGCTGGAACCGCCCCGAGAGCTCCACGTGCCCTCTTTGGGGAAAAAAATGACCCCGGGACTGAGCCCTCCGCCCTCGGGAACGGCCACGGCTTCGTCACCGCCGCCGCCACCGCCGCCCACGGCCAGGAAAATGTTCACGGGGCTGCCGGCGCCGGCGCTGCACAAGAAACTGAGGCACGAGCAGCTGCGGGTGGACATCAAGAGGGAGATGATGGTCACAGCAGGAGGAGGAGGAGGAGGAGGAGGAGGAACGGGGGGGATCCTGCCCGGGGAGCCCCCGGTGCCGCCACCATCGGAGCCGTCCTGGGCGGCTGCGTCCGCCCGCGAGGAGATGGCGCCGCTCAACCTCTGTGAGTGCACGGGGGGTTTGAGGGGTTTGGGGGGATTTTGGGGGGTTTTGGGATCTTCCTGAGGATTTTTGGGATCTTCCTGATGATTTTGGGATGTTCCTGACAGTTTTGGGATGGTCCCGAGGATTTTGGGATCTTTCCTGAGGATTTGGAGATGTTCCCGAGGATTTGAGGGATTTGGGGCTTGTGTGATGGGGAACTGAGATCCCATCCCAGTGAGTTTTGGGACACTCTGAGCTCATCCCAGTGGATTTTGGGACATGCTGATCTGATCTCAGTGGGTTTTGGAACACTCTGATCTCATCCCAATGGGTTTTGGAACACTCTGATCTCATCCCAATGGGTTTTGGGAAATTCTCATTGGATCCCAGTGGGTTTTATGGCCCTAAAATCCCATTCCAGTAGGTTTTTCCTCTCCCTAATCCCAAATTTTCCCCATAATTTCCTCTCCAGCCTCCCGCGCCGACCCTGTCCGCGACATCCGCTGCGAGTTCTGTTCAAATGTGGGGGGCTGAGATCCCATCCCAGAGATTTTGGGCCCTAAAATCCCATCCCAGTGGGTTTTGGGACGTTCTGATCTCATCCCAGCGGGTTTTAGGGCCCTCAAATCCCATCCCAGTGGGTTTTGGAATATTCCGAGCTATTCAGAATGATTTGGGGCTGTAAAATCCCAACCTGGGCAGGTTTTTCTCCCCCTAATCCCGAATTTTTCCTGGAATTTCCAGCACCCGCGCCGACCCCGTCCGCGACATCCGCTGCGAGTTCTGCGGGGATTTGGGGAATTTGGGGAAACTGAGATCCTATCCTTGGATTTAGGGAGGCTGAAGCCAATCCTGGGAATTTGGGGCTCTAAAATCCCATCCTGGGCAGGTTTTTCCTCTCCCTAATCCCAAATTTTCCCCATAATTTCCTCTCCAGCCTCCCGCGCCGACCCGGTGCGCGACATCCGCTGCGAGTTCTGC